GAATGTGTTGTATTCTTGGACAAAACACTTCACTCTTACAGTGCTGCTTTCTACCCCAGGAGTGTGAATGGGTTTTGGTGAATAGTGGGGTAAGTCTAAGGAAATGCATTTGATGGACTAGCATTGCATCCAGGAGGGAGTAGTGATGCTCCTAATCACTTCATGCCAAGGAAACCTGGATAAGCTGCAGCTGGGTTGGCCACTTGGTTTGAGTACAGACTTAACCTTACATAGTATTTTTTTTTTTAACCTTACTTACTATGAATATATTAATACAATGACTCTTGATAGGTATTAAGAATTATTCATCTTTTTCTTCAGCGTTTTATTAGTGTATACTCAATTGAATATGCTACTCTTGGTGTTGGTAAAAATTACTTAACCAATGAAGAAAAAGATAAAGCCAACATCATCTGGAAACTCGTTAAACAACAAGGAGAGGATGAAAAGTATAAAAATTTCAGTCACAATGAGATTGATGAGATGGTCCTTGCTAAAAATCTTGATCCACGACTCCAAGAATTGTGGGACAAGAGAGAATCCTTACTGGTAGATGACTTCAAAGAAAAGTGTAATGTTACTGATGAGTAATTCAGGCCTTGCTTTGTGTTGTGTCAGTTTCACTTTAAGTTAGTTATTTATTAATAGTCTCCCATACATTGGTTTGTTTTCACCTCAGAGATGGTTCTGCACAAAGGTCAATCTTAATCAGATATTCTTAGTGAAAGAAATTTAGTGGGTAAAATTACCTACTTGTAAAGTATACTGTTAAGTAAAGTGTAATTTCTTCCAAAGAAACTACTGTAGAAAGAAGAGAAATTGTGACTTTAAAAGTGGATGTCTGTGATAACAAACTTTTATTTAGATAGAGAGCTAATGCCCTGATTCCCATCCTCTAATTTTCTCTTGATATATGCTATATTTCCTTGAATAAGCTTAAAATTTTGGCTAAGTGGAGGGAAGCTTTTTGAAAGGAGGGTGTTTTATCCGGGAGGGATGCTTAATAAGTTAGTGCAACAATAAGACAAAGATTAAAGCAGATGATGTACATAAATGTACTCTGCAAGCACAAGGAGATAGAAATAAGTGGAATGGAAAAGAAACTATTCCCCTATACTGATTCCAGACTGTAATTGAAGCTTAAAAGGTTATGAAGAAAGTGGAAATAGAAACAGTGAGGGAGGAGGTGGGGAAGGGGGGGGGGG